CCCCTGTCGGATGCATTCTGATGTCACTGGACGTTCTGCACCTGGGCTGGGGTCGCACAACACCTTACAATTACAGACATCCGTGGACTTCCTTGTCGCCGCGCTGCTAATGTCCCAGTTGTGGATGGTGGGCGGCCCTCGGGTTGAGTGCCACATAGAGTCGCACTGACGTGTGCATCAGTGAGCGTTGCTGCAATAGATACGGTGCGCACCTGGAACATTTCCCACGTCATCTCAACAACCCTCGCTCCTTACTGGCATATTTTGAAGCGATTTGGTTGGGTGTTCGCGGGTGCCTGGCCGAAATGGGCAGGGAGTGTCGCGCGGGCGAACGCTCGTACTGCGCGCCGAGGTCGAGGGAGGTTGTGGGTGCGTGCGAATGGACCAGGGCCGGGCAGGGCGCAATTCGCAGGACGAATAGCTTGATACGAATGAGCATGCGCGGTGAACGGGAATCAACACCATCGGCATGGGGTGCATCCCAGTCTATAGAGATTTCGAACGACCTGATGATCAGGCTGAATGGGCGGGAGCAGGCCGACCTTCGACGCACGTGAATGTGTCGCCCCTGAGCGCCCCGGAGGCAATGCGGATGCAAGCGCATATATATGCCAACACCTACCGCCTGGTGGGACCTCTTCACCGTACCATCAATATGGGCAGGTGAGTCGCCGCACAGGGGTAACAGAACGCGGACTGACTAGTTGTAAAGGAGACACACCAAGCTGAAATACAGAGCCGTCGGTTATCGTTGGCCGCTAGAGGATTGGAAGGGGTGGTGGATGCGGCACGGAGGAGGGGCAGCGTGGCCCAACCAGCCGGCGTTACAGTCCGCGTTGCGACCCTTCATCGATGCGAAGCTGCAGGAGATGGGAGTCCTCGGGAACGAGCTGATCACGCTGAGGAGTGCAGAAGACCCTGACCGGCTAGCTGGGCTGCTTATCTCTCCAAGGGGTCTGTCGAAGGAAACGCCGCGGGAAGAAAAGATGGAGCGGGATTCGGACCGACGGATGAAGGAGATGTTGGAGAGGGTAGGGGTCACGGGTTTGGAATGGTGTAGCCTCAAGTTCTACGGGGCAAGGCATAAATAGAGGACCAGAGCAGGCAAAGATGGACATCATGCAGTCATCATGGCGGCCACCGGCCTACCCATACCCCCTCATCATACTGTGCTGAGATCGCTTTATCTGCCTGACCAGCAGCCTTTCATCGATCTTGGCCTACACATGAAGATGTTCCACGATCGGGTTGGAGTAAACCGTTCCCACGAGTCGAGCTTGTACGGTCCCATCAATACCATGTTAACGAGGATCTATTGGATCAGGTTTGGGAGGAGAACGCTGGTCAAGCCACAGGGTGCCTTACGGCTGGCGTACACTCAAGAAGAGTTCAACCGACTCATGGCAGCAGCGGATGGAGCAGATGCGAGCATAGTGGCTGCGCCGGTGGTCGACAAGGGAGAGCGGGAGAAGTTTCTCCGGAAGTTGACGAACAAAGATTCGCTGGGTGGGCTGTCAACGAATTTTCTGATTCGCTATCCGGACTTCCTGGGGTGTGAGCTGCGGGAGCTGAGTACGGGAGACATCCTTCAAATGCTTCGGATCATCATTGAAGTGAAGAAAGACGAGCGCAAGCTATCCTCAGCGTTAACACAGACATCGGAATACCACCGACGTGCACTTTTGAAGCGGCACTCGAAGCATTATCTGACCATCCTTATATGTGGGATCTACACGATCATCTGGACGCGTAGTTTGCCTTCCGCCGAGGTAGTGATCGACTCGCGGGACGTGAAGACGGTGCTTCGCTTCATCATGTACACGACCAACGGCGAAGATGTGCAAAGTGCGCTGCCTACGCACCACGCGGTGGCGCTGCCGATCGAGGACGACGAGTTCATGCCGGACGAGGACTCAGACGAGGACTCAGACGAAGGCGAGAGTGGGAGCGGCAGCGAGGAATATGAATATGAGACTGAGGAAGACAGCGAGTAGTTGAAGATTGTAGTTGTACGACGCCAGATGTAACATAGGGTATGAATGAAAGGACGAAACGGTAGACAAATAATTTTGCTGGATGAAAGGAAGGAAGGAAGCTGGATCATGGACGCAGGATGCGTGCCTCCTGCCTTAAGTCGGGCTGGAGTGGCTCGGTAGACCAAATTACCAATGAATTTTGAAATCTTGGAGAGCCTCTGCTGCGAGGGCATGGTATTCTCGCCGGCACTGCCTCATCGGGCACAACCGCGCGGACAGCGCGGAGCTAACGTACGCACGGCCCCATCGTCCGTGCAGGCGCAAGAGTGAATTTCGCACCAGGGTGCACCTCCCCGCACGAACGAGGAGCAGGGTGGAGACGACGACTGGGAACCTTCGCGCTATGCAAAGCGCTGCACCGCGTATCGACATATTGCTGGCGAAGAAGCTCAGCCTAGCGAAGCAGCACAGCTTGGCGAAGAAGCTTGGCGACGAAGTTGGGCGACGCAGCTGAAAGAGGCAGAGCCTCCCGCCGCGCGTTGGTTTGCCTTGGAACAGTCACCCCATTCCAAGGTGTCTCCGCGCCGTTGCCGACTCTCCGGCCCACCGCACCGTCCCACTCGTCTACGTCTGGTCGAGCCGACCTGCCCACTGAACCAATTCGCGAGCTCACTGATAGTCGCTCGCCCGAAGCGATGCCCAACTCGGCCCCACTACCGCCTTCGCCCGTGCCCAGCCTTTCCTGACTCAACCTCTCCTGGTACCCTCGGTACGGCGGCCCACGCGCTGGGGTGTCGTTCTCGACCAGCAGCCAGGCCCGGACGATCGTCGGCTCGAGTTGCTCTAGATACTGCGAATGAATTCGGGTGATAAAAAGCTTGCAGGCCCGTTGCAGCGGCGCGTAGAGCCCTTCCTCGGGCGACAGGCGGGTTTCGCCAAGCTGATAGACGACGACAAGGTCGAGATCGGCGACGATCTCGTGTCAGTGGCTGATGAACTGAAAGAGATTGAGGGAGCGCGCGTGGACGACGTTGCCGTTCGTCTCGAGCCGCTCAGCGCGCGGCGCGGCTCCATCTTGAGCACCATCACCATCACGCCCCGCGTGCAGTCGACAGGATTGGCGTCCGTAACCTGGAACGGGGTCGAGGCGGTACCGCCGGGGATGGTAAAGAGACGCTGGAGCCGGACGCGAAGGGTAAAGGTGTTCAGGCGGTCGTCGTGGTCCACCGTCTCCTGGCAATGTTCCTCGGTGAGGTGGCGGCGCGTGGCCGTCTCCGACGCGTACGGTCGGGTACATGGACCGCTCGCCGGCGCGTCCAGCTTGAGGTACGCATGGAAGCGGCACTTCCAGCCGTCCTAACCGCCGAATCCCGCACCAACGCCCCGTTGGCGCCCCCACGCGTCCCTCCCCAACCGCTTTTCCCGTTCTAAGCATGCACCAATGCGTTCGATCGCCACAACAACGCGGCAATCTGGCTCCCCTCGCCCTTCTTCGCCAGCCCTCCAAAGCGCGGGCCCGGTCGAGAAGGAGGCGAGGGAGGAATCGTCGATCGCCGCCGTCGTCAACGACGTCCCGCTCGCCGCCATGGCCAGGGTCCCCATTCCGCGCAGCCGGCACTAACCCTTGGCGGAGACGAACCTAGGCGATATGTGGAGCCCAGTCAGGCACACGTTTGTTCCATCAGGTTCTGCTCCTTCTTTCTTCCCAAGCGCGGGGCTTCCTCTCTCTTTTCAAGTAGTTTGGATTGTCATGCATAAGATAGAATACAATGTCGATTGTACCTCTGCAGCGGCGTTAGCAAACGGGTCAGAGTGAGAGTGAAGGTTAAATGGCACTACCCGTTGTGTTCGCTCGCCCTCGCTCGCCTTGGTCCACCCTCGCGTGACGCCCCACCTCTGGAACGGATTGCCTTGCGATCCTCCGGCCTGCGTTCCTCAGCAGCTCAATTCTAACCGCCGAACCCCCCAGCACCAAAGGGTTGCCCTGGCCTACTGAACGCCTCCACTGGAAACCTCCGCCTCCACCCTAGCACGCACCACGCCCCTTGCCCCGTCCCATTAACTTTCCCAGAAGCCTGCGCTGTTCGCTCGATCATCACCCTCTCACGTTGCCCTCCCACACTGCTCTCAACTCCCAAAATCGATAACCAGGACTCGACCGTCCTCGCGACCAGCTTCTTCGGTTCTCCAGAACTTTGCTGCGCGATCACGCTCTGCAACAGAATCAGAGAACGGGTCAAAGTCGGAAGAATGCGCCCGTACCGACACTATCCCTTTGCGCTCGCCGCTCTGCCTATTCTCATCACGCATTCTCTCGTCCACCGCACATCCCCCCGCCTTCCTCATCATCTGAATTCTCCATCCGTCCCTCCAGGGACAAGCCGTACCGTGTTCTTCGCCGAGACTGAAGAAATAGGATCGCGGTCTTCGTGATGGGGTTTGCTGAAGTGTGAACGCACCAGGCTGGCTACGTGAAGCATTCCTCGCGAATATTGAGAATAAGAGACATACACCAACGGGGAAAGATGCACAGATACGGTAGTAGGTGGGAAGAGCGGGGTGGAGGCTCGAAGGACACTGATTCACGCGTCATGATCGAGGACAAGAACATGTAGGGCGTCGAATCTGCATGCCCAGACCGAAGCGATGGAGGATTGAGGGGGGGGGGAGGAGGCCTTCAATGTGCTTGTGTTGGTCTGACGATTCATGTCCCATCAGCACAGAATTGCTAGTGTTTGGGTCTTACACCTATTCAACTTTACCCCCCATATTTCATCGCTACCTTGAAGGGTGGCGTGCCAATATTAAACGGGTAGTTAAGGAGCAAGTAGCCCTCTGCACACCGCCCACTGTGCTTGCGCCCACATCCATCGATCACGACTGGGAGTAGTCCCCACTCGACGACGCCAAGCGGACGGCGAGTATGAATGATCTGTCCTCACGGGGGACAGGGTACGGGGTGGTGCGAGAAGTGGTTGGGGAGCTCGAGGGGTGAGGTACGAGGAATCGGTCAGCCATCAGTTGTTCCCGGGTCTCCATCCCTCCCTCGCCAAGGAGGTGACAGAGGCAGGGCGACCATATTGAACGCAGTTGCGCGAGGCTTCTTCTTGCACAGTTGGCAGCCCGCAACTCCCCTTCCGGTGGCAAACAGAGAGGTGACGGACACCATCGTGCTCTTTGTCTAGTCTGCATTGCAGAAAGAGACGAACCACGCTGACGTGGCGGTCGTACATGGATTTGTCATCTAGCCCCTGATCGGAAGTTGGAGGTGAGTTCCACGATAAGGGAGGTGAGGATGAGAGAGCCTGTTGGATCTTGCTTGATGATGTAGATGACCAGAGAGGGGCCGCGTCGCTGAAGGAAAGGATAGGTGCTGCGGGGAGCGGGCGCCCAGATGGCCAAGCACGACATGAAATCTCTAGGACCCGTCACAATGCTCTTGAGCGTCCGAGCCCGCCGGTGACCCACATCACCATGTCGTCCTTGCCAAGATTGCGCCGAGATTCAAGAGTCAGCGGCCGGACCGAGTTCGGGGAGTGGGGGGTTGTGACATACGTAGAACCACACATGCTTCGTCTTTACGTCCAGGTACCCGGTGTACATCTTGATCGTGTCGCGCCATCCCCTGGTGTGCTTGACCCAAATGCCATACTGAGGAAACGCGGCGTTCAACAGAAATCTGCATTAGCCGGGCAGGACATCCGCCAATGACTATTCTGGTGCAGAGAGGTTGCCTGGCGAGCTGGGAAGACTGATGCGCTAGTTTAAGCAGTCCACGCGCACTTAACGTGCCTTCGCTGCGGCTGGCGGTCCTCGTCCTCGACTAAACAGATGGAATGAGCGTGGGTACGAGCCGTAGGAGATGTGCTCATGGGATTCTGTGTCCTCAACTCAAGTCGGGCACAGAGGGTCGAGCATTCTGTTGCGAACAGACCCTGCTCGCCGTCTTCTCAGCCTCGGTGGGACAAGGGAAAGTCGAGGGATATGCATGCATCAAGTCCTTGAGTAAGGATGCACTTATCAAGTGCGCACTGTGATTGTTATAACTTTGCATGCTGTCGCTCATCGTCACCCCAGATACGCCTCTGCCACCAGTGCCCATGGTTCAATTATCGCCATATCGCACTTAGATAAAGATAGTATCTGCTGCATTTAGCACCCCAACTGGTACGTCCCCACTGCCATTATTGCGCAAATGATTGCTAACGATTATGTCACAGCGCGTCCCCCTCTGCTCCCTCAACTTATGAACGTCGTGCCGCTGCGAGCACCTGTCTGATCTGTCTCAAAACTCGCAAGGAGCGAGCCAGGAGTGGGTGGGTTAGATTGTGCAAAGGCATAGGTGCGCACTGCGATCTTTGGAGCACCGCCCACTGTTGTTCACCTCTGCCTTAGATATCTGCCACATCGCTCGACATTCTCACAAAGCTGGACCGCGCTGGATCACAGAAGGGAATCCCGAGGGGATATGCGTTCATGGCGTAGTGAGTAAGATCTGTTGTGACTAGTCCCATGTATGTTCACACTGCAATTATTACCGAGTTGCTTCGTAAGGGTCGACAGGGCCTCCGCCCGACGTCCACCACTTGCGTCCCCCTGGCACCAGCGAGCGTCCACTCAATTTACCTCAAAATATACCAGGAGCGAGCCATGGAGTGTGGGATGGTGTGCGCAGTGTTATAGGTGCGCACGACGATTATTACGGGAACGCTCATTGTCGCTTACTTCCGCTGCTGCAGCCCTCCCGCCTTGCCAACATCAAGATCACTTTGCTCACTAGCTGGTACGGCGCCGACGCCTTGTGGTCACGCTCGCCCATCAAGATCCGCCCTTAGATGACCGGTTGGGAGACGTAAGACGGAAACGGGGTGTCTAACCGCTTTTAGTCTGTTGAAGAATGTCGAGTCGTCGCCCGCCACCGCCGGCCCATTTCGACTGGGCACCTGCGATCAAACCGCCTCAAACCCTGCCAGAAGGGAGCCAAGGGGTGTGGGAGGCTCTGTGCAAAGTGCCAGGTGCGCACGGTCATTATTACGGAAACGCCCAACGTTGCTCACATCTGTAGCCGCACATGCGTCGCCCATCCGCCGCTTCCCCTGCGCCAACATCAACGGTCCATATCACCTCGAAGTTTGCTTAAATCAAGCGAGTGTCTGTTCTAGCTTGCATCTACGCTCGTGTGTTCAATCTGCGATTGTTATAGAATGCCTCTTGTCGACAGCGCGTCGTCCATCCGCGACCCCGACTTAGAACCGCTGAGCACCCGCTAGTGCCCGCCCAAACCGCCTCAAAATATGCCAGTGGCAAGCAGAGTGGGGTGAGATGGTATGGGAAAAGTCCCAGGTGCGCCCTGCGTTTATTGCGGAAACGCTCGCTATTGTTGACCCTCCCACCAGACGCAGAACTCGCACATGCCCAGCACCCGCGAGCGCTCGCCATAACCGCCTCCAAACCCGCCAGCAATCTCCTCGTATAACTCGGACAACAGCCTGCATTGTCCGCTCATCCAGCCAACAGTACAGCCCAGCGCCCGCCGCCTACTCCCTCGGGTCGGACACGTTCCTCAGCACTCCGCGTTGCCGAACCACCTCCGCCCTCTTCCAGCCCTTCTAACCGCACCTCATACGGCGAGCAAACACCAGGAAGCATCGTATTCATCTTCCCACTCGCAGGGTACCTCCCGGCACATGCTTGGCTCCCGCCTCCCAGACAGGAACTCGCTCGACTCGCCCGCATCAATCCGCTCGCGCACCTCCAGGACTGAAACGCGTACAGTTCGGAGGAGACTAGGGCATCGTGCTGCACCGCCTAGACATTAATGTGCACCTTTGCCCCGTACGTGCCGCCGCTCAGCGTCACGTTGCGGACGGCCTTGCACCCCATGCCGATGGTGTTGATTCCCGTTCACCGCGCATGCTCATTCGTATCAAGCTATTCGTCCTGCGAATTGCGCCCTGCCCGGCCCTGGTCCATTCGCACGCACCCACAACCTCCCTCGACCTCGGCGCGCAGTACGAGCGTTCGCCCGCGCGACACTCCCTGCCCATTTCGGCCAGGCACCCGCGAACACCCAACCAAATCGCTTCAAAATATGCCAGTAAGGAGCGAGGGTTGTTGAGATGACGTGGGAAATGTTCCAGGTGCGCACCGTATCTATTGCAGCAACGCTCACTGATGCACACGTCAGTGCGACTCTATGTGGCACTCAACCCGAGGGCCGCCCACCATCCACAACTGGGACATTAGCAGCGCGGCGACAAGGAAGTCCACGGATGTCTGTAATTGTAAGGTGTTGTGCGACCCCAGCCCAGGTGCAGAACGTCCAGTGACATCAGAATGCAT